ATGCTAACTCTGTAGGGGCAGTGATAGCCATGCTAACTCTGTAGGGGCAGTGATAGCCATGCTAACTCTGTAGGGGCAGTGATAGCCATGCTAACTCTGTAGGGGCAGTGATAGCCATGCCAGTCCAGGGACTGACTGCAGTTCCACTGTAAGGTGATTTGGTCAGGGTCAATGACCGACGTACCTGACATGTAACAACCGTACCATGCATATTGCTTTAGGTTAATAGACTCTATTAATTAGGCTATGTAACTGAAAGACATCATGGTGCTCTATCATAGAGCTGCAGATATGCCCTCCACCCCCTTCCGCAGACACTCTTGTGCACCTCTGCAAAATTGTAGGTGACCACAGACAGAGTCGCAGACAAGAGGCTTCTGATTGGTCAAATCTCTATCCGCTCTACACTGCTTAATTCCTACAACGCCTGGCACACCTCGTACACTATCCCAGACAGGTGCTAGTTTGTAGCTCTGTGCGACGGTCTCTTGGTTTCACACACAAAGCCAAAACCCGTAGCACCACATGAAGTCTTTCAGGAAAACTCACGGTTGAACTGTGTCGTCCGCCGTTGGATGAGGGGTTGCAGACGTTGAACAAGCTTGTCAAACCGACACAAGGACACCCACAATCCTAGCTAGTACGTGATTGTCCCTCTTGCATTGTGGCGTGGAATAACAGAGCGCAGACCACCCTTCAAAATTGGGCATAAATCAAAAATATCTGCGTCATACCTGCGACAAGCTACGGGAGTATAGGCTGCCATTAAGCCATTACCACGTTTGCTTTAGAGCTTTACAGAAAATCTGTTGATTATTGACATAAATTAAAGTAGGAGACATTTCTCTACAGCTGATTTTCCTGTGGGAGACGTACCAGAGAATGAAACACAGAGAAAGTGTCCAAGAATCCAGGTTATCAAATTAATTTAAAACTTAGATTCCTCTTAAACTGCTGCAGTGTTTTCGTCCTTTTCAATTGTTGTTATGTTTTGCTCGACACAGACAAGATGTGTTTACATACTCTGTTCTCATCATAATAATAATAATATTGAAATGTTCTGTAAATAGCTGCATAATGCTACTTTAATGACAGTTTGCAAGTGTGATAAGTTGGGTTCTTTTAGGATGCTTAGCATGCTTTGAAATAGCCATTAGCTTTAGCCTCAGGAGCCATCTTGTCTGGATTGGTGAGTGAAAGAGTAATCCATTGTTTATAAGACATTTAGTGCTTTATAACATTTAAAGAAAACACAACCGAAAGTCAAGTGACACTTGCAGAAAGCTTTGCTCTGTTGGCCTGATTTGGAGATGTGAACCTGGGAGAAATCCGGTTTATGTGCACATGTCGGAATTTGCTCCTGCAATGTCAGAACCAGTCTGTGGTTTGTGGTTTTATTTGTGAGAGAAGTTTGATCAGAAAGGCTGATGTAACCTCTATGTTTCTCAGGTGTGGTTCAAGAACAGACGAGCCAAGTGTCGGCAACAGCAGCAGAGCAACAACAGCGCCAAAGTAAAACCGGTGAAGAAGAAGTCATCTCCAACCAGGGAGAGCACCGGCTCAGAGAGCAGCGGCCAGTTCACTCCCCCGGCCGTGTCCAGCTCATCTGCATCCACCTCTTCCTCCTCTTCTTCTTCTGTCTCTTCCGGTCTCAGTGGGCCTGCTTTGATCAGCTCGTCTACCTCCGTCACTGCACCGGTGTCGTCCATCTGGAGCCCGGCACCCATCTCCCCGGCTCCGGCGCCAGCCAACCTGCCTGACCCGGTTGCTCCTACCAGCGCGTCCTGCATGCAGCGCTCTTCGACTTCCTCTGCCAGTGCAGGAGCGCCGTCATACCCAGTGTCGTACAGTCAAACGGCAGCGGCGTACAGCCAGGGTTACCCCGCCTCAGCATCGGGCTCCTACTTCAGTGGTGTGGACTGTGGATCCTACCTGGCTCCAATGCATTCCCACCACCACCCACACCATCCTCACCAGCTCAGCCCCATGACGGGATCCTCTATGTCAGGACACCCCCACCACCATATTGGCCAATCAACCGGCCACCACCATCACCACCACCCTCCACACCATCACCAGGCTTACAGCGCGCCTGGCTTGGCCTTTAACTCCACAGACTGTCTGGATTACAAGGAGCAGACTGCAGCTTCAGCCTGGAAGCTCAACTTCAATGCCACCGACTGTTTGGACTACAAAGACCAGGCCTCTTGGCGTTTCCAGGTGCTGTGACTTTCTTCGGTCCAGTCTTGACAGGTTTAAAGACCCTTTTTTTTTTGTAAATTGTGGTTTGCTTTGAAGATCCTTCTAACAGCAAATACTTTTTAAAAATGTAACTGTGAACGAACTGAAACCACGCACTGAGCAGCCGAACCTCGAGCTCTGCCCCGCTGCTATCGGCGGAGCAGCAATCCCGGGATTATTTTTCTACTCCAGAATCAATAAAAAGAAAAAAGAAAAGACAACACACCTATTTCCAACCGAAGGCCTTTAACGGGAAAACCCCTCTGGTAGTACAAGGTTTCTAGGAACGTCTCGGTGACTCAAAAAACTCACAACTATTTAAAAATACAAGATGGGGCAAAAGATTGACATGTTAGACATTACAACAGACTAAGATTTTATTTCTAACGACAGGATGCTGCTGGGATTTCAAGCTGCTGATCTGCTGGATGTCTTACACAGAAACTCCATCTTGCATCCCATCAAGGGGAGTTTGGAGACTGATTTGCAGCACTTGTTTGGGTTTCTCACACTTTCCTGGTCGCTTTGTAGCAACACAAAGGAAAGGAAATATGAATTTGTGTCACAATGTCAGAACGCTGTAGAGATTCTAAAAATTGTACATTCATGTCTTTATAATAAAGTCTTGTTTAAACCGAATCTACTCAAAGAAATATTTGTTCTTTCTGAAGATAAATCAAGTGTTGGCTTGTCAACAGAGCTGGCGTCAAGATAGGCAAGTTTTTAAATTAATATCTAGGAAACTAGTTTTACTGGCTCCACTGCCGTAATAACAGCGCAAAGAGTTCCAGGTAGCGCTGTGAAAAGTTGACATGACACATGATCCTGCGATATTAAAACACCACCATGTGTCTTGTCAAATTAAGGTCTGTCTGGTAAAGTTAAAGCGGGTTTCTCTTTGATCCAAGTTGTTATTAAGAACACAAAAACACGCAAAGATAGGTGCTTTAAGCGTAACACCCTAAGTTTGACACCCGTATTTTGAGTAGGAAAGGAAGTTGTTAATAAGTTGTTTTTGTATGATATAAACTAGGGATGCACGATATAATCGGCCCCCTATCGGTATCGGCCTTAAAACTGAATATCGGACATCGGCCACCCCACCGATATTTAACCTGATATTTGATCAGCTTCTGAGTTTCTAAAGTCGAAAAAATAATAATAATACTACTTCTTCTTCTTCCTCAAAAACTTATTTTTTACAGACTTAAAAACTTCTAAAGACGAGGGAAAAAATATTGATACATTAAAAATCACAATATCTTCCTATGCTGATATATTGCCATTTAAAAACACCATATCAATCTCTTTTACTAATGAAATATTGCTATATGTCATCGTTATGCTACGAAATCCCCCGAAAATTCACGAAATGTTGCCATATTTTTATATGTTGATATATTGACGCGGTATCGATCTATTTTACTAACAAAATCTCACAAGAATTTGCAAAATATCACGAGAGTTTGTAACAGAACGATGAAATTTCACGCGATTTTGAAAGTAAAATAGATCGATACCGCGTTTTTAAAAATCTATTTGATATCAGCATGTGAAAATATATTTGAGTTTATTATTTTTCAAAGTGTCAGAAATGGATAACAAAACTGCTATTTTCAATGACTACTTATTTTTGTCCAGCTTTAACATCGGTATCGATATCGGTTATCGGCTACATGAGTTTTAAAATATCGGCATACCGGATATCGGCCAAAATCCCAATATCGTGCATCCCTAATGTAGACGGCTCATAAACCATTCCTGTACATGGATGTAGAAGCATTTAAGAAGCAGTTGGGTTCATAAATGTAGGTTTGCAAAAGAAGAACTGAAATACACAGTAATGGAAAAATTTCTGCAGAAGGAGATACAGTTTAACTCCAGACTCAAACACACTGTTTCCCACTGGACCTCCTCCTCAGAGCGTTTTATTAACAGAACATGACGCATGGTTACAAGCAGAGTATTGTTCTGACAGAACAATTGATCAGTTCATGAAGACAGGATGCTGCACTAGAATGACAAGGCAGGATGGTCTCCTCACTGAATCCCAACACAGTGGAGCGTCCCCTTGCACAAATGTTTCATAAGCACACATTAATTTTAGAATCATCATAGAATAAACCTAACAGAACCTTCTATCAGTCCTAGGTACCTTATAACAAAAACAAACTGATGCTGTGACTAACAAACTAAAATGCTAATTGTAAGAAGCTGCTTCAGAGCTTCTTTCAGACTAAGCAGAATATTTAAATTGTTCAAACCAGAAGCTGTTAATTTTGGCCACAGTAGTAAATCTGTTGGGAGTTTTAAACCACATACTGACAATAAGACAAAAAAATGCAGGGAATTTTAAGGACTTGTTGTTGCCGTACATATATAATAAAAAATGTATTTAAAAAATTGGTAGTGCACATACATAAAAAAAAAAGAAAATCAAAATAAATACACAACAAATAAATGTTCACTCAGCAGTTTTACAGGATAGAGGTTTCTGCACTGGAAAAACAATCTAGAAATAAGTAAGAAATTCTTAAATTAAGTGTATTTACCCTTAATTTGAGTAGGTAAATGAGATGATTTGACAATGCAATGAGTATTTTAACTCTTAAAATAGGATAATTAGATAAAATGCACTTGAAATAAGACAATGCAACTGTGTTTTCTTATTTTAAATGTAAATTGTCTTGTCCTTTTGGCAAAAGGTCTCTTTTACCTCCTCAATTCGAGAACAAATGCACTTATTTTAAGAAAAAGGGACTTATCTAGATTTTGATTTTTTCCAGTGTAGGAAATGAGGTCCAGCCTCACAGGTAGAGCAAAGTTCTTTTCCAGATTACTTTAAGGTAAAATAATTTAATTTAAACCCAATCTAAGAGATTATTACCAGTAATTACTCCATCATCTAAACATGCCACGTTGAAGTCATTTTATAGCACTGATTAAAAGGCTACCCATTGGCTGTCACACTGATGCTGGTTTCTCATCTTGAAAGAACTGAAACTGTTTATATCTACTAGGAAGATTAGTTATAAATAGATCATAAGGCTGATATTGTCTGTCAAAGGCAACAATCTTGATGTCGGGTAAAAGGATGTTTTCTACAGAAAGGGGAAAAATGCTCTGCATTTCTTTTTGAGAGACATCTAAATTTAATTAATTTAAAAAAAAGCTGTGATGAGATATTTTTTGTTTTTTCCATTGATTGGCCAAAACGCACCAAAACGTTCAAAAAAATTATTATTTAAAATGTCAACATTAGAAACATTATCCTTGACTTACATTTTTGAGATGTGGTTCTACAACGAGACCAGGGGTCTTCAACGTTTTCCAGGCTAAGGACCCCAAACTGATGGCATGATGGAGCGGGGAACCCCTAATTACATATATTTATATTTCATGAAATAGTGTTCTATCTAACTGGTCCTATAGTCACTCTATTACAGATGGAGTAATGTAACTAAAGTAATTTATTCCTGGCATTATTAAAGTATTTCTGATTCTGATTCCAGGTTGATGGGACAGGTGTTGTGAATGAAACGGTGCCCAGATTGAAAGACCTCCTGTGTGTCGCTGAATGTGTGCATTGATGACTGAAAGACATCTTCTGCCTACATTTATCTGTTTACTATAGTGTGTTGAATTCATGTTAATGTGGATTTAAAGACATTTCAATTAGTGGAAAATTTTGCAGGGGGGAATATAAGAAAGTCTAATCCACCAAACCCAAAAACGCAACCCCCATGCAGTACCTCTGTGGACCCCCTAGGGGTCACTGACCCCTGTTGAAGACCTCCGAACTAGACAATAATAGTTACTGAAATTGCATACAGATTTTTTTTTTTTTTTTAGATACCAGAAGATTCTCCAAAATAATTAGATTTTTTTTTTTTTTTAGATACCAGAAGATTCTCCAAAATAATTAAATAATTAATGTTTCGTGTCAAATACTAAAGAAGGTGACTGTATGGTCTAATATACCAACAGATTTCCTGCCATTATCCTAGCTACTGCAAAAGTTTTCACAACTATAAACTGTTAGCCTAAATAAACCAATGTAGTGTTGTAATCAGATTCTCTAAGATTTAGGTCAGTTCTATGGTCTTTTCCATTGGTACCGGCTCAGCCCGTTTCATCACAGCTGAAATGTTGGTTTTTTTGGCTTTTCCATCAGTAAAAGTTACATGAATCATTAATATTTTTATTACCAGCTTGGATGCCGTTCCAACCGAAACATGTTGATCTGAAAAGTTGACGTCACAGAACTGCTGGTAATTAATTCGTTATGAAATAAGGTCATTGGTTGCACACTCGTATAAGACACTGCGAATATTACAACTAATCCCTTCAACTGTTAAATCGCTCAATGCTTGGATTTTTGTCTAAATGACCACTAGATGAGGCTAGCATGACGCAGTGTTAGCTTGCCCTTATGTCTTGCCTAGCTAGTATGCATCAACTTGATACCGCTCCATACATGGAGAAAATTTTGACTTCAGAAGTGGGGGCGACGCAAGTATTTTTAAAATAGAAATAACTTCAGGGTGTTTGACCCTGCAATCACAGACCCGATTCAGTGGCACATCAGAATAATGTAAAGTGAGCTTCTCAGGAATGACAGCGGTGACAGCCAATCACACAAGAAAAGACGGGGGGCCAATAAGGAGCTTGTGGGCGGACTTAACTCAAGGAAGCGGGCTTCAGCTTGAGCTCCGGTTTTCCTCTTGGTCCTAGTGCTTAACATTTGTCTGTGTACTGTAGCATAACCTTGTGTTGGACAGTAAAACGTGCAGGGGACAAAAATGGACGTTTACAAAAAGTGCAGGGGACATCCCTCCCCCCAAAAAATCCCTCTGCTGTTGCAGAAAGCTTAATGATGCTGCCCTGCTAATACTCCACAAACAGAATAATAATGGTATTAAACTGGAATTAAAAAATAATTTCTGTTTAGCAAAGAGTTAAGACTCACTGAAACCAGGCGAACAGAGTTGATACCAATGGAAAAGAGACCAATGTTTCCTTCCTACTGTATATGGAAGAGTGAGTTAAGCCAAGCATACACTGCACCATTTTTTGCTCTTTTCAGGTCCATTTTCCAGTTGTGCAAGAATATTTCGACTATCCGCCTGATTTTGGGTCGTGTAGTGTACAGGGAGTAACGAGGGGCGAACAGCATCTCACGACCACCTCCCGATCAGGAATTGTAAGGTCAGGAGAAAATCTAACAGGTTTAAAATTCAGTTGAAAGCTGTGAGCGAATTGCTCCGCACACATGTGCTGACAAGGATTCTTCTTCTTCCTCTCAGACGAAAAACTAGAAGCATGGCGGGGGTGTGAGTGAAATGTAGTTTTTTCAGTAAAATTGACAGACCGTAGTAGCCACATTTGCTCAGCCATGTCTTTGTCCAAATACGTCCTCACCTCTTCATTTTAGGGCTTTCAGCACAAAATTGCACAAATTGCCAAGGCAGCGCGTTTCACTCTAGTGAGCCTCTATGTTCCTCTACTGGTTTGGCTTCCAGATAGATGAGTCCGAGTAGCACCATCTCACCGTGGAGCTAGGGTCAGATGTCGTTTTTAGAGGTACATTGTGAGCAGGTAGATTGCATCAGGGTGTTGAGCCGTACAGTATGACAACGATCGTG